CAACCAAAAAACTATTTTATTCAATTTTGCTGCCTCCACTTGCCTGGTCATTCATTCAGCTGTTTGGTATTTCTGGATTAGTGATTTCTCTCTCGCTCTTCTTTGATCACCTCATCTCTCTCTTCCTCTCTCTGTCTTTCAGCTCTGATTTTAATGCTCTTCCAGTCAGTGTGTCCATTAAGCGCAGAGCTCATCAATGCACGTTTACTCACGCATGCAGATGAGCTCCAATTGCAGTGTATTGCAAATGCGTCAGAGACCTCCTTGTGTGTGTGTGTGCTTCATACTGAGATGGAAGAGATAAAAAAGTGAAGGGCTACAGTTAAATGGGCCTTGAGAGACTCCAGATGAGTGTGTTTTGCAGAAGTGAATCTGTATGTGTGTGAACAAAAACACAATGAGAGAGAAGAGGAGTTGAATGTTAGTAATCCATACTCTCCTGGCAAGGTGTGTGTGTGTGTGTGTGTGTGTGTGTGTGTGTGTGTTTCTGATGGCTCTCAGAGGAGGGGTAGATGTAATGAGAGTGAAGGAGGACGCTTCTGTGCTGCGTGAGCGTCTCCGCTGGGGTCCAGACCTGCGTTCCAGTTCTTAATGAACATTCACAAGCCTTCCCACTCCCTCACTAAATGCATACACATCTCCACCTCTGACTCCTCTGCTATTGAGTTAATTTGACCTCCTTCCATCTATAATTGTTGGTGGGTTTGCTAAGTAGACAATATATTACTATTGCTCCTATTAGAGTTACAGCTTTGAACATAATCATACCCTTAAGTATTAAACTTTGACATGTCACTTGTCAGCTTGTTACGGAAAACTGCATTATATGCAATTTTCTCTTAGTGACTGGTTAAAAAAACGATTGGTTTGATAGAGGGACCTGGGCTACATCTAGCCACCAAAGTTATCCCAAAATTGACCAGAAATGTGAAATCTGAAAGAACAGATTGCGTGGATGATGTAAACGCAACTGTTTTAAACGCAAATGTTAAATCTTCCATTAGGCTAGCGGGTTTTTTTTTTTTTGACTTATAAATTTCCCTAGAATCAGAAATTGATGAAATTTGGTATGCATCCTCACATGGCCTTGAAACCCATGTGTACCAAGTTTTGTGAACTTTGGATTTTGTGTTACAAGCCAATTTAGTAATTATGTGCAACGCCTGAAAATGTTATTGGCTCAAATCTGTGATTTAACAAATCAAAATTCTTTTGACAACTTTTTGTCAAGGTTGTCTCTAGATGATATACGCCAATTTTCATGCAAGTTGGATGAACAGCCGGGAAAGACTTCAAAAACTGAGCCCATATGGTTCCTGAGACATAGGCTAGAGAAAAATACAAATACATAACTCTTCACAGAGCCGCCCTGTTGGCAACTCCCAAAAATGGTAAACAACCTCTTCTGGGACACTTTTAGGATAAAAAAAATGAACAATAAAAACAAAAAGAAAAATACTGAGAAGCATAAAACCAGCAATAGGGTTCCAAAAGCCGAGAGCAGGGGTTGTGAAAGCTGCCAGCAGTGTGTGATGACAAACACCTGAAGCTCATTCTGCCTCATCACTGAAGCTGTAAATCCAAAACAGCTCCTCTCCTTTGGGAAGGCCAGCATGGACTAAGCATGGACCAGGTGTTCTCAAGGTCTCAGTACGACACGAAGAGCCTGAGCGTGATGAGCACACCACAACCTTGGGTGACCTCCAACAACGTCCAGCATTACAGCGTGTTTACCATGCGCTTCAGCTCTAAAGCAACATGTGATGAATAGTGGACATGGTTGGGGAAGTTGAGGTTGAATCAACAGCCAGCATTGATTGGTGGGGAGCATTACTTTCAAAAAATGCGGGGCTACAATATTCTGTATTTTTTTTTAAATATTGTCTACAAATATTGTGTCGCTACAAATAACATCTACAACAGTATTACACACTCTCAGACCTACAACACCCATCATGCTCAGACATATTATAACTCCTATAAAGGTAAGGTCACATTAGCAACATTTCTTTAGTTTAATTGTCAATAGCACTGAGATTTATAAATAACAGCTCAGTGTTTGGTCAGTTTCAAACCAATTTGCATTAACATAAAATCTGCCACAAGTATTTGCCATTAAATAAAATAAAATGAAAAATAATAGAAAATTCTAGTGAAAACACAGTTTCACTGAAATATAGAGTTTAAAATATACTACTACTACTACTACTACTACTAATAATAATAATAGTAAAATTAAGGTGGTTGTTTTGCCAGGCAAGTATCACTAACATTCAATAAACAAACAAACAAACAAACAAACAAACCAAACCAAACCAAACCAAACCAAAACAAAACAAAACAAAACAAAACAAAATAAAATAAAATAAAATAAAATAAAATAAAATAAAATAAAACAAAACAAAACAAAACAAAACAAAACAAAGGTCTTTCTATAAGTAACAATTGTGTGTGTGTGTGTTTTTTTAAATGGGACATGGGATTTGTATTTGCCAGTAAATAAATTAAGCAGAAAAGTAATGCACCATATCTACTATCTGCTAAATTAAGTAAAAATGCACATATCTACATGTTTATTGTGAATGATTCATCCATGTGTGGTCTGGTGACTTCTTCAATCAATCAATCAATCAATTGTCTACAAGCTCGCATACATTTTTGAGTGAAACGCCCATATCTCAAAATCCAACCAACAACCTATTGGATTGAACCAATTCCTCACCCTACATTTCTTTTTCTTTTACGATAATCTGATGCACTTGAAATTTACGCCACGATACTGAAGAAAAAGATCTGTCTGTACTTCCATTTCATGACAACTCTGAAAATTTGATTAGTACCGGAAGTATGTAACACGCGTTAATCATAATGTTACACCAACAATTGTGCCCCCACTACTAAACACTGATTAAAATGAATGCTGAAGTCCTCACGCTCCTATTCCTAATTAATTAATCAAATTCAGCTCAAAACACAGGGCACACCCTAACATGTCATTATGGCCTAGTAATTGTCCATCGCATTCATTCTACAGGACAAAAGAGTGCTGGAGTGGTGGAGCACGAATCAAGGGGCACTAAAACTAACCCTTTAGTGCTCCTGAAACATGACCTGGAAACACTTGTAGTTTTTATTGTTCATTACGGAACAGCATGCAAAGCACTACGCTAACTAATTCCATTACGCTAATCCGCCTCAAAACAACATATTGAGCAGATAAGAGTGTGGATAATTTATGCGGGATTCAAATGAGCACCAAATCAGAATAATTAATGAAGGCCCCGGCTTAATTAGCCTGGCACTGGGAAACACTTCCTGCGTTCTCAACCAAATGGATGCACAACGCGTTATTTCAAAGAGCCCAGAGGGGCAGGAGACCAGGAAAGCACCTTTTCATGATAGCAGCCCCCAAAAGTGTGTTATCTGTACTTGTCTCGTCCCTCTGGAGGAGCTTTGCGAGGAGAAGCCGAGTAAATGTTAATCCTCCATATGGATTTATTTTCAAAATTAACCGATTCCGCATTTGCTTCGACCTCTTTGTAGGGTGAAGTTGGCGGTGAAATTTTGCAAATCAGTCACAGTTGGGGTGACATTTAACTAGGCAACAAAGCTGTTTACAGGAACATAAAAGCTACACGTTTGCTGCCATGCACATTAATGTGTATATTTCAGAAAAGTTTCCAGTCCAGCAATTACCAGTGATGAATATAAGCAGGAAACCTATGCATTGATGAATAAAACATGCCCTTATTAAAAATAACCTCCATCTAAACAGCCTCTGGCATCAACAAATCATAGCAAGAGTGTGGGTCAAGGTAAAAAAATAAATAATAATAAAATAAAATAAAATAGTACCAGGGAGTCCCCAGAAAAACCTAAGGCCTTTCATTATACCTGAACATGTCGCCCAGGCCCTTCAGCACGCCTTTCTTGGCTTTGCTCTTGTCTTTCTTGTCTTTCCCTCCTCGCTCCTTCTTCTTGTCCTCTTTGGTGCGTCCTCCGTTCAGCTGTTTCTCTGTGTTGGAGGGTGGGAGGGTGAGGTCCATGGCCGTGGAAATGGAGTCGCGGCCTGATCGTGAGCTCTCCTCTGTATCTTCTTCCACTGAGATGGTGGAGAGAGAGACAGATAAACATCAATGTTGAACTCAAGACTATATGTAAGTCACTGCAAGCTCTTAAGAAAGAGCAACGAACACTTAGTCGCACAAGGTTAGGTTTGCCAAATAAAACCAAAAACAACACACTAGCAACCACCAAAAATACCCTATCAAACATCTAGCAACTACCCATTACACTTTAGCAACCACTTGTTAAATAATAATACCGTATTGTCCCGAATATAGGACAATGTTTTTTTCTTGGAAATACATCTGAAAAAACGCGGTCGTCTTATATTCAGGGTCTAGACTTTGACATGTCAATAATACACCCACAACAATGGATGCACAACGCGTTATTTCAAAGAGCCCAGAGGGGCAGGAGACCAGGAAAGCACCTTTTCATGATAGCAGCCCCCAAAAGTGTGTTATCTGTACTTGTCTCGTCCCTCTGGAGGAGCTTTGCGAGGAGAAGCCGAGTAAATGTTAATCCTCCATATGGATTTATTTTCAAAATTAACCGATTCCGCATTTGCTTCGACCTCTTTGTAGGGTGAAGTTGGCGGTGAAATTTTGCAAATCAGTCACAGTTGGGGTGACATTTAACTAGGCAACAAAGCTGTTTACAGGAACATAAAAGCTACACGTTTGCTGCCATGCACATTAATGTGTATATTTCAGAAAAGTTTCCAGTCCAGCAATTACCAGTGATGAATATAAGCAGGAAACCTATGCATTGATGAATAAAACATGCCCTTATTAAAAATAACCTCCATCTAAACAGCCTCTGGCATCAACAAATCATAGCAAGAGTGTGGGTCAAGGTAAAAAAATAAATAATAATAAAATAAAATAAAATAGTACCAGGGAGTCCCCAGAAAAACCTAAGGCCGTTCACTCTACCTGAACATGTCGCCCAGGCCCTTCAGCACGCCTTTCTTGGCTTTGCTCTTGTCTTTCTTGTCTTTCCCTCCTCGCTCCTTCTTCTTGTCCTCTTTGGTGCGTCCTCCGTTCAGCTGTTTCTCTGTGTTGGAGGGTGGGAGGGTGAGGTCCATGGCCGTGGAAATGGAGTCGCGGCCTGATCGTGAGCTCTCCTCTGTATCTTCTTCCACTGAGATGGTGGAGAGAGAGACAGATAAACATCAATGTTGAACTCAAGACTATATGTAAGTCACTGCAAGCTCTTAAGAAAGAGCAACGAACACTTAGTCGCACAAGGTTAGGTTTGCCAAATAAAACCAAAAACAACACACTAGCAACCACCAAAAATACCCTATCAAACATCTAGCAACTACCCATTACACTTTAGCAACCACTTCTTAAATAATAATAACGTATTGTCCCGAATATAGGACGATGTTTTTTTCTTGGAAATACATCTGAAAAAACGCGGTCGTCTTATATTCAGGGTCTAGACTTTGACATGTCAATAATACACCCACAACA